TATTATTAAAAATGTTATCATGGACAATACTGTAGCCATAAAACAAGTATTGTGTAGTTTAATACAAAATTTTATTTTTGTATTACTACTAAGCAAATACCTGTCACTAGACTTTATGTAAAATTATAAATGTTTATTATGATCTAGATTATTGACTACCATTTTCGATATTAAAGTGTTAAAAATTATAATTTATTATAGTAATTTATTTGCAATAATAAATACTGATCTAGATAAACGAGATAATATTAATGATTCAGGAAATAACTTTTAAAGTTAATTTAAGTAATACAAGTTTTACTTTTACAATGATTAATTTATAATTTCAATTTTAATTCTTAGAGTATAATAAAAGTAGATTGTGATTTCCTTTTTTTGTGATAAACTTAATGTAACCAGCTTACTATTGTATACTTATTGCTTTTTATTGTATTCTTTTGTGCCATAATTAATTAAATTTTTATATATGTCCCAAACGTATAATCGCAATTTAAACATGTGTCACTGTAAATTAACATTTGTCATATTTCAAATAAATAGGATATTATATTATTTGAGCAATTTATTAATACTAGTGGGTAGGTTTCTATTTATTAAGAATAATTTTTCATTTATTTAAATCTTTTATTTAAAAATTAAAGTTTGAAATGTCGCTTTTAAAATTTTTACTGAAGTTCGTTGTTTTTATAAATATATAAAATTACAATTAATGTAAATAAATCATTTTATTTTAAAAATACTGTTAACACAATACACAAATATAATGCTGTTTCAAAACAATTACATAGTTAGATATTTATATAAGAACAAGTTTGTTTACATATAAACATATAAAACAAAAGTACCTATATATGAAAAGTAAACAATTCATGTAATTGTTTAGGATTAATTCAAGTGAGAAGCTTGGTGAGTTCAGTTAGAAATGCCAAAAGATCATTTAAGGTGGCATTGACAGCGTCCTGTTGCATGGAGTAGCCGATGGTTAGCATGAATACCATAATTGCCATTAAATATCTCATTGTATGCTAACAATAGATAACCGCTTGAGGAGTGAGTCCTGAAAAGTAATGTAAAATGTTGTACTCGTGTAGACTGCCCATTGTCAAGTATTTCACCTTGACATTCAAGTATTTGAGGGTCCTGTCAAGTATCAAGGGAAGGGGTAATACTTGACATTATAATGTAAAGTATTTGAAAATCTGTTATAATTAAAGTTAATTTTTCATAAAATTATGTAAAAATAAATATATCATTTCATATAATAAAAATACTTGACTAAATTAAATATTAAGTAAAGTTTTCAAATTACATATATTAAACAACAATTTATACCATTTTCCATATAAAACTACAATTTAAAAACATTTAAAAATATGATTGTAATTTAATTGTCTTAGGCAAAATATACTTATTTTTAGTTTTACCGGTATTAATACAGAATTTTTGAATATTAATTTTATTTCATAAAATAATCTGAATTATTGTCAAGTATTGAATGAGTTACAAAAAATATCTCATAATTAAAACTAGTATAATAAGCACTCTTTTAATCTAATGATCTAATTATACTATATAATATATATAGTATATATTAATAACATAATATTGATTCAAATAAAAAATAACTATAATTATATTAATTCAAATATTGGTTATGTGCATAATTAAATTGTTAGTTATCTAAATTTTGTTAATTTACCTCTACATGCAAATATTTACCGTTAAAACTTAAATAAAATATGTCAAGTATTTTCAAGTATTTTTGAGTTAACTTTCAAGTATTCAAGTTTTAGGATCTGATCACCCTATACTCGTGTGACAAACTGAATGTAACCATGCTCACTCACGGTCTATTTATGCAATTTTTTTAGTTCATAATAATAATTTTTGTTTGTCTGTGTCTAACCATTTGATCTCAATATTGGACAGTTATTGTAATAAATTTTCTCCGTTCATATTTTTTTATATAGGGCATTATTTGATATAGCAACAGGTTAAGCAAAAGTATACGAATATATTATTTAGTTATAAAGTATTTATAATAATAAATTAATAAAACATAAAACTTAAATAAGATCTTTGAAATTATGAACTATTTTTGAGAACCAAAATCATTTGCATAAACCTAATGTTAAAATCCGCTGGTATATAATTATAAATATATCACATGCAAATTGTATATTTCATATACAATTATCATCGATATTATACAATATTTATTTATATTTAAGTTCTAAGTGGCAAAAAAGTGTAATTTATATTTATAGACTCGTTTGATAAACTGAATGTGACCCTGTAGTTACAGAATTGCGGTACATTGTATTTATAATTATAAAAATATCAAATTTATGTTGTAAAAAATCATTTTATTTTAAACATTATCTTGTTTACGCAAAACACAAATATAATGTGATTGCGAAACAATTTAATAATTACATATAATGATATTTATATAAGAACACATTTGCTTACATAAAAATGTATAAACAGATTAAACAAAGTACCTATATAATCATTTATGTAATTGTCCAGGATTAATTCATGAAAGAAGCTTGGTGAGTCCAGTTACAAAAGCCAAAAGATCATTTAAGGTGGCATTGACAGCGTTTTGTTGAATGGATAGGCCGATAGTGGACACCATCACCACGAAAGCCAATAGATATTTCATTGTACGCCTAATAATAGGTAACCGTTTGAGGAGTGAGTCCTGAAAAGTAATGTGAAATTGTTGTACTTGTGTGACAAACTGAATGTAACCATGCTCACTCATCAGCTATTTATGCAATTTTTTTTGGTCCACAATAATTAATTTTATTTGTTTGTCTCAAACTGTTTGATCTCAATATTTGACAGTTATCGTGATAAATTTTACCAGTTTTATTTTTGTAAGTAGGGCATTATTTAATTTAGTAACCCGTTAAGCACTAATACTTATTATTTAGTTATATATATGGTAGTATTTATAATGTAATATAATAATAAATTAATAAAAAATATAAATAGAATTATGAAAAGTGGGACATATTAGTAATATGACATTACACATCTTATTTTATTAATTGATCAGATATTACATAAATTTATAAAAATAATCCTCTAGGTTTAAGTGTACGTAATATACAATAAATTAATTTAATAAACTATAGAGTATTCTAGTATAATATTATAAAATTAATATGTTCTGATAATTGTGTGTCAATTTATCATATAATGTCCTAGTTATTAATTGAAAGACAATTTATCTTGACATGTTTTCTTAATGGGACCAAATGATCGGGAACATCCAAATACGTACAAAAGTAATTGATTTTCGTATTAAATATATTTGAAATAAAAAACGATCAGTTAATTTGTAAAATGTAATATATCATATTTATAACAATGAACAGTTAAAAATAAACCACATTTCCGTAATGAATTAATTGTTTAATTATATAAACAGTTTTGTTATGTTTTATATGAAAGAAAAAATTTAGTTATATTATTTATACTATAGTTAACTTTAACATAGCTAAGTACAATTTATTTTGAATGTATTTTAATTACAACAATTTAAAATAAATAAAATAATTTATCGGGACGGGAGGTCACACAACTAACTCTGATTCAGTATTAATAACACAACTTCATGTGAAATGATTTTATATTTTGATGCGACTATCCAACTATAAATAGTGTGTCCAGTTATATAACGCTATTACTGCCATCCCGATTAAACATAGCACCAACTCTAAGCTGTGATCCATGCAAAATATAAATGCATGCTGCAGTGTAAAATTTAATATTATACGTGGGGTTGTAAATTGTGTTAGAAGTAGCATGATAACAATGAATAATACGATAATTAGACGTCTACTCAATATTTCTCTTGTATCTGTATTTAGGAGTTGAGTGATAGCTGTAGTGTCATTATTTGCACTTTGAAGTGTAGTAGGGAATGCATACTGGGCACCATGATCATTTCTATCGCTCTCACCCAGTGCCGAATCGGGCACCAGTATGTCAGGAATACCTGTTGGCGCCGTTTTACTCAATCCTATCTCACATTCATTTGTATTTAGTTTTGGTTTAATTTTGCGTAAAAAGAAATCATTAATGAATTTATATTCAGGTTTCTGTGGATACAATGTGTGATGCAATTTAATGTGTCTTTGAAATGTGTTCACCATTTCATGGGTTATACGGATATTATGCGCGAAAATATCATTGAATTCATTTAAAACATCCGGTGCAAACATTTCCATCCATTTCTCCTCATTTCTAATCTCATATAAAAAAGTATTGAATTTTTTAACACTTATTTCCACTTTTGTTGGAAGGTTATCTCTAAATGTTAATAAATGGTAAACAAAAAATCTTAAAAAGATCAAAATGCAATTAATCATTGGATTTGTAAAGCTTCATTTTATTAGCTTATTGTAAAGAAATTTTTAAAAACTACTTGTCAAGTATCTTTTGGACATTTAATTGAAAAATAAGTATTATATTTTGGATCTGGTCACACTAATAAGCACACAATTTCTGAGCTAACTATCCCTCTGCATGAGACAATATGATAAAATACTGCTTACCTTTCCGACCATGATATAAATAAATTTTGTATAAAATCTATGATGCGCTGATACCCGGTATTAACCATAAAATGCTTTATTAATTTTAAATACGGCGCATAGACTTTCAAATGTCTACCATTTTTTATATTATTGACGATCAATATATTTTCGGGAAACAGATCGCAACCGTTATCTATGTCGGCAAACGAATGAAAATACTGAACACATTGTAAGAGTTCTCGCAGTAATTCACACGATATGTAGAAATCAACGCAAATCATGTCAACAGAGTTTGTGTTTTTGAAGATTGCATTTTTTCAAATATAATATCCTTAAGTGTGTCCAAATATATTTCGGTTTGAATGAAAATATGCTTATTTTCAACCCATGAATTGTAACATTCAATCGTGTAATCCGTGTTTAAGTCAAATGACTTCCTTATGTCAATCAATAGTTCATTAGTTTCTCCCATATTATCTGTAAATTGAAATATATATTCAATTAAATTAATTATAAATATAAAATAAATTTTTGCCTTAAAACATTATCTAAAGTAAATTTACAGTGTAGTTATATAGAATTATAGCAATAATCTTTATATTAATTTCCCTTACCTGGTATTTGAATTTTAATTAACGAGTACACTTGTTCAGATATAATATGCCTGACTTTATATAATGAAACGCCGATTGATATTCCTTTTCCATCAATGATTTCAAACATTGACTCATTTATTGAAATATTTTCTGTTACTTCTTAAAAATATAAAACATTTACAATATAATTAATTTATTATAATTAAATTATGATAATCATACCAGTAAGCATTATTTCATTAGGCATACGAATAACAGAAAATTGTTTGCTTTTAACAAACAGTCCATAAATGATGATTAAGCAGTTTTCAATTGTGTTTTTTGTTTTGATAATTCTTTCGAAAAATAGTTTGCATTCATTTTCCTGAATAATTGGTTTATTTGTCATAAATGTCTGCAATTGTGATAAAATGCGCGAACATTCGGGTCTTTGCCTCCAATCTGTTGAACCGTTTTGTGAATACATATTAACACTCATTGACACCAATAATGCACTCATTTTATTAATTAATACATTAATGTTTAAATTGTATTTTTCGACATTAGTGATCCTAATATTTTAAATGATAAGTTTTATAAGTTTGTATATAACTTTATATTAAATTGCATTATTTCAAAAATATAGCATACCTTCCACTAATAATATCTTTAGTATCGAAACCAAATATTTGAGCTCCAATTAATGATAGACTGTATATATCACTTAAATGATTGTATTCATTAGTCTGGGCTTCCGGTGCCATATAGTCAACAGCTCCCACATCTGCCGTATGTTTGGCCTTAGACATACGGAACGGATCGCAATTATAGACATCTTTAGCTAATGCCAAATCACATAACTTTATATTCCCTTTCCGTGTAATCAACACATTAGCGGGTGTGAGGTCTCTGTGAATGATATGTCTTTCATGCAAATAATGCAAACTTTCTGTGAGCCTATGAAACATATAATGCGATACATAATAGTCTGATATAATCATTTCCGTTGTAAATAATAATTTCTTAGTTTCCAAAACATTTTTCAAGTTATCTAATCCTAACTCCATAAGTAAATGTAGGCAATCGCTTTCAATCCATGAATAATAGTATTTTATTACATATTCTGACCGAAGTTTTTTTAGACTTTTCGTTTCACTTAAGACGTATTGTTTCTCTTTATCTGTTATATCTTTAATATAGTCAATGAAATAATAATATCAACATTTATAGCATTTTTACAACAAAATGAATTAATTGTTACCATTTAATGGACATATCTTTAAAGCATAATATTTATTGTCAAATCTATTTTGAACTTTGCAAACCTGCCCATAACCACCCTCACCAATCTTAGCTATTTCATTGAATGTATCATTAAACTTTATTTCACGCAAGTATTCATCATCTATATTAATAAAGTATTAATATTGATAGATATCATATAGAAATTAAAAATATGAAAACTTTTGCAAAATTCTTACCAGAAATGACTATGTTTTCGTTTAATACATGTTCAGTATTTTGTTGATCGCATATTTTGATTGTGTTTAAAGTCAGTTGACATTCATGTGAATAGTAATCATCAAATGATTTATAATTGGTTTCAATCAATTGTTGATTAATAATTTCATATATTTTATCACCAAATTTGCCCGTTAATATTGCTCTATGTTTCCTATATGAATATATCTGTTTGATTTCGATGAATGAAAATAGTCTTATAATTTCGTGATTGTCATTGTTTAAATCGTATAAATATATGAAGCCATCGTTGGATAACAAATATACTTTGTTGATATTTTCGTTAAAATAAGCACTTTCTATGTTGCAAATATTTGCCAACAATTTTATTTTCATATAATTATATTGATTAGATTGAATTTCAGTTTTATTCCACACAAAAACCTGTCCACCACATGTAGTTGCAGTGCATGCTTCTCTACAGCACAGAATTGAATTTATTTCGCATTTAATTGGAAATTCAATGATGCTAAACTTTAAATAATCATAGCCATACCCCGGTCTAAATACATGACCACTATTTGTCAACACAAATGTCTGATAATCACCACAACTTATTTGAGAAATTATTAAAATTTTTGAATTGAAATGATATAGTGTCTGGTTTATGATATACATTCTCATTTATACTTCCATACCGTACCAATTGTCTCTTATGATTGCGACCAAAACTATATATCTGATTATCTGTAGTGACAGCCAATACAAAGTCCTTTCCATTGATAAACTGTAATATATTTTTGTGGTATAATTCCGGCACTTGTTGTGGTGTTTCAACGGGTTTATTATGTCCTAACCCGAGCTGACCCCACCTATTAGATCCCAATCCATACACTCTATCATCAAATGTTACAAACAGTAGGTTATTTCCCTTTAAGTCGTCAAAAACATAAAATAATTTAATATTTTGTTGTAAATGTTGTGATATTTTATCACAAATTTTAAAAGTATTTAATAATGAAGACATTTTAAATAATAATTATTAAATTTATAATAATGTGTTGATAGATTACAAGTTTGATTAATATTCATTATATACAAATATATTTTAACAATTATATGTATATAAATTTAGTATAATATAATTTGTAAAACATTTAAGTATATTAACTAATAAATTTTCATTTACTAAAATAAAGTCAACATGTATTATAATTATATTTATCTTTAATAAAATCTAATATAATCCTAAAATAAGACATAAAATATTGTATTTACTGTTTTAGACAAGGAAATACATGATTATTTCTTAGCAATTGAATATTTTTATTACATTTATTTGTTAAATGAAATAATAGTGAGAATAACACTAATAAAAATGGAATTCAGTTTACTATACTTAAAATAATATTAATTTTGAACGAACACTCGTTCTACAAATATATTTTTAAGTTTTTGTTGATTTTGAGTTGTGTTGAGATACTGTACTGATATACTGTATGTAGCCAACTAAGCATTAAGTCAAGTTTAGAAACAATAGCATTGAATACAGGGTTGACATACACTTGACCTACACATGGGTCAGTACTTAAGAACCTATTGTAGTTTAAGTGAATGGTTATGAGATTTATGTCTATTTATGTATACAATTTAAGTTTAAAATCAATTTATTATTATTGATAATAATTATAAATTAGGCAACATAAAACTGAACATTTTTTCTTAGTCAGGTGATGATTGGTCACTTAAAAACAGGTTTTATTGTGGGTTTGATAGATAACTTTTACCCATGCTAATATGTAAAGAATATTTGATAAATTCGTTATTATTTATATATTATATAAGTATTGTTCAATAAATAAAATACTTAAACTTATTTTTTAAATGTTATTTTATTTTTTAACAATAACTTATTTTTGCTTGTTTGTATGTGTGTGTGTGAGAGAGAGAGAGAGAGAGAGAAAGTGAATTATTAAAATAAATACTTTAAAAAATAATATACAATAACAGATTTTATTTTAAAGCATGTCTTAAAAATTGTAAACACAATAGTGATTCAAGACAATTAATTATTTAGACTTTAAAAGACCTTGGTGTTAGTAATATTATATTTTTGATATATTTGATGTATAATTAATATTGGGTCAACTATCTAGTTTAAATAAAACATACAAACACAAAAGTTTAGTTTAGAAAACCTAATAACATGTGTTTGTTAAATAATTAGTATAAAGGTGACAACAATAATAAAGTATTATATTAACACTAACAGTAAAAAGTGTTTTTATTTAATAGTTTTATTTGCACAATATGAACTCGCTCATATTGAAAAGTGTTTGTCTATTATTATTATGCCATGAGATATGGGGGCAAAATCAGTGCCAAACAAACCGTTTAAAAAATGTAAAATGAGGCAATACAAAAGTACATGAATCCAATTTGGGCAGTTGGATAGTGATGGAGTCATGGATGGCACCCCAGCCCTGGGATGATAATGGCTGCGACAAGACTACCCAGGGTGGCAGTTATTTACTGGAACAGTGTCTGGGTAGTAGGGCACCGGCAGTTTTACAACATTGGTCCACATTTATTACCGAAAATGACTGCTCAAATGTCTCAACACGGTGTTAATGTTGTGCGCCTACCTGTTGGTTGGTGGCAGGTAATTTTTTAAATGATCCTAAATATTTTTTTCAATATTTTATAAATCTAATAAATTATATGTTAATATATTAATGA